GTCCTTAGATCATCTTCCATGACAAACCAACCGCGTGACCAGACAGGCCACTTCCTTAGTATACCGCCTTGCCTATGCTCGATCTGGCAAGACAAATGTTCTTATCGCTGAGCCTTAGATGCACGTATTTCTCTGCCAGATCTATCTGAGATGCAGGATGCTCATGGTTTGTCAGAACAATGAAATGTCAGTGGTCCCATTTAATTAATTTCCAACAAGACACCTTGTGTCTTAACTTTTCACCTGCGATGATATCTATCTACAATCATCTCACATCACACCAAGGACAAAGATAGCACTTATTCTTTCTGCACATGACGACAGTGTGGCAGACGTTTTGACTTGTCCTATACAAATTCATCCTGAAAAATGCATTTGCAGATTTTTCGTTTCTCATCCATTTGTCTACAGCCAACAAAGGGGTACGACAGCCCCTCTGAAATCTGATCCGACAGCCTCAACAGCTAACTGAAGAGTGTGTGATCGGTAGAACCGTGAAGGGACGCCAAAATAACTTTTCACTCGGGCTGTATCTCTGTGTGTGAAAAACCATTCCCAGGTAACTTAAAAATCCTTCCTCTTTTGGGTAGGAGTGATCATAAGGTTTTCGGATTCCACTATCCTAGTCAAGCCTAACTAACAAAGGGCACTGCTACACCTTCAGACAGCTGTGTTTTTAACCTGTCTAAAAGCTCTGAAACAGATATATCGGGAAGCTGGAGATTCCCACTTTATAAGATCGCTCATGCCATGGGCCATCCTGTCCTCTTTACTCTAAAATGCACTTGGTCACCTGAAATGGTGAGCATACCTACTCATAAGCTACTCAGATTAAAATGATATCCCTGGGATAGAGGAAAAAGGGATAGTAAAGGGCAAAAGCAAGTCGGGGGAACAAGACATGTACTAACGAACTTCTAAAGTTCGGTCATTCAACTGCGACTGACCAACTGATAGACTAAAATTGTCTGGGATCAGTCCACCGTTGACTTGTTTGACCCGAAGTGTACGGCTAACGTCCAGAACAACTTGCCACAGACAAACACAACGTAGAGGACAAAAACGGCAGTGGCATTCGCGCAACGTGTTTATTTCAAGCACTGTGGTGAATGAGTGAAGCGGAAAAACATAAACAAGTACAATGAAAGCTTTTTCATCATTCTGTACCAAGTCACTAGTTAATACATAGCTTCTGAAAGATAGAAAGTCATGATCAAGTTTCCTGGGCACTACATCAGCCTGCCCCAGGAACGATCCCCGCCTGCGTGATCCCGTATGAACTGAGCAGGGGAGGGAGGAAGAAGCGGGAAAGATACAGAAAAAAGAAAAAGGATTGTCCTCGAAGACTGCCCCACCATTAGCAATCTTACACAAACTCAAAACAGATCCTGTCTCAGGAACGGAAGTAACTGATATCGAGCTCTGACCGTGAGTTTGTGATATCCGCACTGTAGAGTGACTCGCCTACCAGAAGGTTGCCATGTTAGATGTCCTCTGAACGTTGACAACTTAAACTACTAAAGTTTCAACGTCTGGGGGTCAGGTGGCCCCCGGTCATGATGTTTTAACTTCAGATTAGAAGAAAATGGAGACCCAACCAGAATCGAACACGGTAAAATGACTTATTACGCTTTCGAAAACACTTGTGTCAGATGTTGTGCCCATCTAACCGCCTTAACTGTCCTACAGCCACGCGTTTTGTTCGCTAAATCGTCTGCCGTACGTTGTGAAAGCTTCTCGTGTCATACGTGGTGGATCATTTTCTAAGTATGGCGGCCAAGTATTCCCGTGCTAACTCTGTCTTTGGAGTTACTCTGCCGCGTGACGTAATATTGTGGATATCATGGGACACCTTGTAGGGGTTCTTCATATGGAGGGCTGAGGGAGGGTTAAATTCTGTCAGAGCTAACCTATGCATGTACGCAACCATCTACCCTTGGGGATATAGACCGTTCTTGCTCGACCACGGACTGCCAGTGGTCTTAAGTTAGCCATTTGATCTTTAAGTCGATCGATATATGTTGACTGATCGATTTTGTCACCTTCAGTATTTGGGCTGGGGTGGTATCGAATACTAATTTCACCGCTGGACATCTAGCGTCCGTCTTGGTCACTCTGGGAATTCTTCACATCACTATCGGGAGACATTCTGGTCAGCAAGTGGGATTAGAGTGTGATATCAAGGCAGCATTGAGCAATCGATGTGATTTTCCCGCCAAGACGTTTGTCTGTGGGTGGTATGTTGCACAACGAATTCTACGTGAACCAGAGGATTTGTCTAGGTTATTAAAGAGCTCTGATTTTAAGCTGCTCCTCTCTATTAGTAGTAACCGATACAGGAACACCGTAAGTCGACACCTAGGGCTGTAGAAAAGCTTTCTCTACTGTTTCCGCAGTAATGTCCGTAGGTGCAGTGGCTATCGGGAAACTTGCGTGCCTACCAGTGCGTGTGACTAGGTACGTGAGACCGTTAGAATGGGGTAAAGGACCTGCCAAACCCACGTGTACGTGTGCAAAACGTACATCGGGCTAGAAAAAGCCCGTCATAGTGGAACTGTTTGTCGGCTAACTTTAGATTATTGACACACTATAAATTCCTTAAACTGTTCTAATACATCGCGCTGCAAAATAGGTCGAATTTATCTATCAGAAACCAGTTTGGCAGAGGCTTTCTCTCCTGGGTGTGACAACGATTGAAAGTTGTCGAATACTAAATTTCTCTTGTATTTAACCCATAAGGTCTAGGCGAACCTCTCGTCATGTCATAGCAAACGACTGACTACCTAAGCTTCAGGCTACGGCTACCCACATAACGTAGACTTCCGAACTCTTCGGCTTTCTCTTGATTTGCAGCTAAAGCCCTGAAATATCTGGTGGAATGGTGAACAGTGCCTACGCTATTTCTGGGCAGAGTGTCAGTCACGCAATTTTACACACTTTTAACGTGCTTTATATCGCTCGCAAACTGTCACATAAGATCGAGGTGACGAAGTTCGCATGAGTATTCATCAGGCTTCAGCTCATAAGGTAAGGGCTCCAAATTCGTGCAGACTATATACGTCCTACTTCTTACCATATGATGGAAGCATCGAACGTCTGAAAACGTCACCAGCAAATTCCAACCAAATGTTGAATATGGAGTTTCGGATGTAGAAGTACAATCTGAAAAGAGCTCCACTGGTTGGTTGTCTCCCTCAGCCTTATTGGTGGCACCGCCTACAAGTCCCACTGGTGCCCCAGCATCGGGGTAGTTTAGAATTGTAGCCTTTACTGAAGATGCTTTTTACGCATCTATAGCTTCCGTAGAGAACCCAAGATATTCTCTTAAAATATCAATTGTGGGTTTCATGTGCTGTGCATAACGTGGATCAATCTACGATAAAAATCAATTAACTCGAGAGAACTTCTTAGTTGTATCATGAAGGAGGGTGGTGGGTACTGGTTGAAAGCCGCCGCATCTTTTGGCAACGGCTATATTCCTTCCCTATTAATCATGTGTCCTAGAAATTCAATGGTCTCGACCCCAGAAGCACATCTATTTTGGCTTATCACCGTGGCACTGTCGCCCGGTTTCATCAGAGTCTCTTCCATATATGCATACACCTGGATTTATTTAGGGTGACGGCTTGCCTTGGAAGGATTTATCTGAAGGTCTCATTTTTTCGACTGGAGGATTTGGCCAGAATTCGGAACCAGGCAAATAAAAATCAGCTTCCCTTGACAATTTAATAGATAGGCGTGTTGCATCATAAACATCCAATCCCATAGGGACAACAGCAACACCGATGAGTCCTTCAGGGGCGTAAACGCCATCATAACCACGACGGAAATGCACTTGATGTGGAATGCTTGTTAGCAGCCTCAAAATATGTAATTCAAGCCATCTAGTCACAAATGCTGTCACCAGCTTGGCAGTCGTTCGGTGTGGCCTCACCCAGAGTTTGGAAGTTTAGTTTTCCCCCCGGCACTGTGGAGTGACAAAATATATCAGAGTAAGTTTGCTGGATCAGTAAGACAACTCAGTGCTGTGTAACAGGAAGAAGGGTGGGTGGTGGATAATTTTCATCCGCCGGACTACAATAATCATAGTTTATCCTCGCAAATACAGGCATACATCAGCTCACAGGCGTGACTATATACTTGTACTAGTCTACCACTTCCGACTGGTACAGCTTTGCTGCTCAAAGATAATCAGCAGGTTTATATAAGTAGAACTCATGTACGGAACCAAATGAAACAACAGATACCTACATAGCAGGATAACTAGGTAGTCTTTAACGATATAATGTACTAAACAAATCTTGATACTCGTGCCGCTGTTTGTTTGACGAAAACTAGAAGAACGCAGAAGTTATACCACAAGAACAGCGGTCCAGATACAAGGAGAATACCCTACCTCCTGGAACTGTTTATGTGTCGAGATGCTCAATCCACGGAGGTGATCCTAATGTCATCAAAATCCAATAAACCCCAAATCAATACCGGCTTAAATGTCTGCACGAGTTCAATCAAATATGACTTTCTTTTCTGCTTCGACGTAATCTTTTTTCCTCTCCATCTGTTACGTATATAGGTTCATTTTATGCAGAAAACTGTGACCAATTGCTTGGAGACATGGGAGTCAGTCAAGTGAAAGAATCTTATATTCTGTTGTCAACCCGCTGGAGCCATTGAAACCTAGCCCGAAAATGGCGTACAAATGTGACAGTGATAGTCCTACTCCCTGAATTTCTTAATCTGGGGCCACGTAGTGCACATTGATCACTTCTACAAAGACCCATCACTTCTCCATATTATTGTTAGTTACACTTATTTTTCCATACATACTTTTCACTCCTCTTTTCTTTTCCCCATTAACCTTATTTCTCGCACTACTTCTTACATAAGGCTTAGTATCTTCCTGCAGTTGTTTACAGAAACAGGGGTTACCAAATGTTAGTTGGTCTTATCAGCAGCTGCATTACTTCCCTAAAGAACAAATCTGCTGTTGGATACCCTGAGAATTAATGAGGTAGTTTCAAATGAGCATGTTGGCCTTGAAGCGAGTGGTCATTGGGGAGTGCTTCGTTTGCTGAATTTTGCTGGTAGGAACTCGTCTCATCTTGTTATCTGTAAAATAATGTAAAATAGATTGTAATAGATTTATTGGTGTAAGGGCTTAAGAGTGATCAATCAAGTTGGAAATGATATTTCGAAATAATCTGCAAGTTTAATGTGAATTTTCCCGAAGTAGGTAATGTAGTACAAATAAAATATCTTGTTCGGAAACGTAAATAAATCCTAGGAGGACCACTGAAACTGTAGTGGGTAAGTTAATTACACATTCCTCTAGAAATCAAATTCCTGGTCATTAAAGGATAGTGATACAAAAAAGAATATCGTAATCACTATAGAAAAACGGGTAGAATTGAGAACTACCATCCACACAGATTTCTGGAAGTGATGCGTAGTGTCATCTTAAATGAGTCACTCCAATCAGGTTATTGTCCAGGAAGCATATTTCCTAGGTCCGACGACTGAAGTGCACACAATCAGCCTTATAAGTGTGTGGTCATCTTGAAGACTTCTTTAGACCTTCGACAAAACCACGAGGGGATATGTTATGGCCTAAAATAGGTGACTCGCAAAAGATAGTGGTATGGTTTCAGAAATGATAAGCCTGTTGGAAGTCTAGATGTATTTAATTCTAATGCAAAACATTTATGGTTTATGAATAAAACAATTTTCCTTTTGCGGTGTCATTTTAATACTGGGTTTTGATCAGTCAGTGTGTTACGTTGAACTGTAAAAACTTCTTAACTTATAGTTTAGGGGGTGAAAAATGAAGACATTGACGGGGAAGTTCCAGTAGTGGATACTCTTTAGAATCCATTTAACACACCGTCTAAAAGGAATGCACTATATTTCTAACGGCTTTAAAGACAATGCAGGAAAACTCGTTGTATAGAATCCATTATTGTGGCTATTAAACGACATTTTCCACAGTGTGTGTGTGTACTTTCCATGCTGGCCGTTGTATCATCGCACTAATTGATCACTATATCAACACTATCTATGTTTAGGTGATTTAGTTAGCAGACAAATCACACTTTCACTGCTTATATGTGTTTCTCCTTTCTTTTTGGGTCCTGCCACAAACCATTAAATACCTGATATAAACCTGTCGGTTTGCTGTAGGAGGCATACTTCGCGTCCACCTACATTATTTCTGCATTCCTGTTTGGCTGTGTAGTTTGTCAGTCTATATACGTTGCATCGCGCTATCGCTATGCAAACATGATATTCTTCTGAAATTGGATAAGGCATTAGTAATAGTAGCTAAACTTGATTTTCAAAGAAGCGAAGGTATCTGTGTGCAACATGCTTTATTTATTCGTCAGCCACCGCTGTCCTTATTTACATTGGACTTACTTTGAAGGGAAAAAGGCTAAGTAGCGCCTTTGCAAATGTAAATAAGAAATATAATCAAAACATTCTTTCACAAGCCTTTGCTTTCTATTTTTGTATCCAGGTCAAAACCCAAAGCACGCTATTGTAATAATAATGTGGAAGAGAATGTTAACGTTTATCGTATGTACATAAGTGCAATATGACTAGTATGTCACATGTAACCTGCAGCTATCTAAGACCTGCACACCCGGCTTCCCTATCTCGAATGCGGTGGGAAGTAGATTCGGTTCACATATCTGTTGTTCACCGTCCCACCTTCTAGGAAGGAAGATATTTGCAGACTTTGATGCAATGCTAACTAAAGGGAGTACTATGGTGGAAAAAGCAAGTTTTACTGCTTATAAAGTTACAGAACGAGTGAAGTATAGTTGTCTTGGGTAAACATCTGTAGTTAACTCACAACTCCTTGGATTGGACCCAAGATATCATAAAGTTCAGTTGCTTGAAATAGTAGCAGACATGGGTTAAAATTAAAGCCAGTGGTGGTTATACTTCAGCTGTTTGTTTTCTCTGTTATCCAAAACGAAGGCGAAAGTAGTTAGCTGTACTATGGATATGCCCGGGAGACCGCTTCCATAATAAGCAGTTTGTTTTGCTTCGTTTCGTTCTACTTATGTCATATTCTGGTTTTTGTTTTGTATCGTGTGTCTCTTGATTTTTATGTTGTACCAAGATTGTGTTCTGAACAACTAAATAAATAATAGTAAATCGAAATTCTGTACATTGTCAACAACCTCGAATGTCTGAATTCTCTTTACTTAAGTGTTACTGTACGTCTTTTTGATTTATCAGTCAGTCACCACCAACTTGAGAAGTGACACTATTGCGTAATATTCCAAGTACCGCATCCCATATCAGAACATCAAGGTAGAAGACCCTAAGATGAAACAAATGCAAGGATGACATTTATCCAAAGTAGGAAGTTTTAAGAAATTTTATTTCTTATTCTCCTGTAATAATGTTAACTAACCAGTTGGTCTGTGATGCATCTTGCATTAGATATCTCTGTCAAGAACTGGTTTCTCCTTGACTGCGTTATCTGAAGGAACTGATACCACTTTCTCAGGTTAGGAAATCCAGTTGTTAATAAATTAGTGGGAAAAACGCTAGTTAGCATTCAGCAACCTTTTGTTCAGTAGACAATGAGCCACACCTAATGTATGAGAACTAGTGATGTCACCTGGTTGCCCAAATCTTGGTAGATAGGACGGGTTTCGAACCTGTAAACCACTGGTTGGTCACCTCCCTAAACCACAGCTACAGCTCCACCAGTGAGAGGAACGTGCAGATAATCATTTTAACGGGTTAGAAATAAAGGAAAATTAGTACCACAGTTATTATTTACAATATATAACACCCGTATGAGATCACCCCTTTCCCAACAATAGGCGAGTAAGAATAGATTAAGTCAATCTAAACGCTCCTCATATGACAGATTAGGAATGCTGGTTGCCAGTGTAGTATCTACCTTTTGAGTACACTCAAGTACTCTGGTGTCCTTTTGTAGACATGGACTGGCTATTTGAATACACTTTTCTAATTGGGGTCTTACATTTGTGGGTTAGTGTTCTGAACATATCCTGAATCAAGCCTTTAAAACTTTGCCTATGGGCTATTACATGCAAACGTTTCACTACATTACAGTGTGTGGACGTTTTCAAATCATTGCTTATGATTACATATAATTTTTTTGGTCCCAAAAGAAGAAGCAATCGAATGATGAGATTGTGTGTGACTGTCAAGATGAAGGTAATATGTAGATGCACATGCTTCAATTAGATTGTGAGCTACGTAACCTAGAGTCCCCAACCACATCTTTCGGTTGTCATACGGACGGCAACCGGGTGGTCTGTATTTTTTGTAAAGTTTAGCAACTTAGGCTAAAGTATTTTCGTACAGGATTGAACATAATTTCGCGCAAATGTACAGCGTTCGTAATAGTCACTTTCCTCTAAAATTCACATAAAAGACCTATTACAGTCAGTCGTTTTCAATCTTCTGAAACCAATAGAATGATCGGGATAATCTTGCGGAGTGTCTGTTCAAAAATTCCAGTTTCTGATTATATTCAAGTTTAAAATCGAGCTGTTCATCATTCCCTCAAGTAAAAGTTATTGCAACTCAATATGGTACAGGTGTATGTACGAGACTTTCTCGCTTGTTGTTGTGGCTTATTATACTACCCGGTTGTCCAATTCTAAGTATGTGGAGCGGTGTGCGGATCCAGAATCCTTTACTTAAAAGTCAAGTTCCTGAGGAAATAAATCTCTCAACTATAAGCTAAAGTTTTTCAAAAAAATTTAAGTTGTTTTTCGTTGGTATTCTGATGACCAATGGATTTATTAGATTAAAGTTATTTTGAATGTAATATACTTACTGTTGTGGTCTTAAATTTATTTTCAGATTCAGAATGAATTTCGATTGGAAAATAAAAAACCAACATACAGCGAAGTATCACACTGATACGGTTGAGTTTTGTCCGGATGGGTCAATGGTTCTGTGTGGTAGTTATGAATTAAATAGTGTATGTCAAAGTTTGTTTCGATTGCGTTCTCTAATGGATTCACTGAATGGCGAAAATGCGATATTTTATTCACGCCTTTAAAACTGATTTCTGTAAAGTATAGTGTATGCCTCAAACCGTGTTGTTGCAGCCAAAACCTGGAAGTTTTTATGTTTCTGCTTTTTTGGTATGATGTAGGGAGTTTTTCAACAGGATTCTAAAAGAAACAAGAGATAACGTTCCTACTGGTTACTCATTGGGGTCATGATTCACTGACTGCTTGTGCAGAGTGTGCATAAAGTATACTCATCAGTTTGAGCAGTGCCAAGATCAATATTCAATTTCTGTTTGCGTGTTTGACTACATAATATAAACGCAGAATTTGGGCACTGTAGTTGATTATAGTTCCATTATAATACTTTTTTATATGTATCACAGTTAAAAATTGTATTGTATTTATTTGGTTTCACCTCATGACGGGGACTTACATGTTAGTGTGAAACAGTTAGCTGATATATTTGTGCTTGCCCTTTCATGTTCACTTTAGAAATGATTTCCTTTTAGGCTAGATTTTGAGTTAAATTTTAACTATGATCTGTTAGAGTGAATAGGATTGGACAACGTGATACGCCATACTATTATCCCTCCTAATCTATCTAAATTCTGCAGATTTCATATGTAGTTTGCTTCAACTGACTGGATATAGCTTATTTCCTGATCCCCTTTCCTGTAATTGCTTTTCTTTGGACTCCTGAAAGCCACATTTTTTTGAGGGCATGATGACGTTACGACCGAGTTCATAGATTTGCCCTGACATACAAGCTATAAACTGTTTTAAGCTGTTGAAGTATCATACTTAAAGTCTGATAGAAACTAGGAGATGTCATAAGCCCAGTTTGCAGATGCTAATCGATATACTGAGACATGCTTAGTACCATCTCAACAGCAGGACAGGATACTGAAGTCCCTCTAGTAAAGCATGGGTTGTTTTCAGTGCTGTTATTCGTCTGCAGTAATTTACACTTGCGTGGATTGGAAGTGAGTCCTTCAAAACCCTTTCGTGCAATTTGTCCAGGTCTTAATGTAAGAGTAAAACTTAGGCCTTGTGGTAGATTGTAATTCCATTTTATTAGAAATGTCACGCAGTGAAACAGTCATTTACCGGATAACGTTTTGGACATAATTTATTGTCCATATTCATATCATATAATGTTGGTTCTCCTACAAATCTTCCGATCATCAGCATATAGCAGTGGGCATGGCATGAAAGAATCTAGCCGGTAATTAAAGAGGATTATCAGTAACAGAGGACCGAAAATGCAGTCCTGATGTTAAATCATAGTATCGATACGTAAAACTGCAAACAGTTTGCAATGTTCCATTCTCATCTTGTTTAAGAGAACAATGGGTGTTTTTCATTGGAGACCTATATTAAATAACTAACCTTTAAATACTAAGATGTAAACGGTGTATTCATAGTCTTTTCAGGCCTGTCAATAGTGCACATCATGTATGATTGAGCCCGAAATCTTTGAGCTGCTCAGACCAAGCATCCAAATACAGATACAGGATTCAGGTAGACGGACAAACAGCCTCAGCGTAGAACCTAACACACATATGATTCAAATTGCCATATTTCATAGTAGTATTCAAAGAACAAGTGGATAGAAAAAGAGTGATATTAAAGTAGACAAAGTTGTGTGAGAAAATAAACAGTTGGAAGATGGTGGTTAGTGCGAATATTCAAGATATAGAAGACGTCAAGAGTGAATATATCTGCGCCATTGTCACCGATTTTCAGCCATGTCACCAAGAGTTCTAAACTACTGGTTCCGATCGTTTCAGGACCCCGGCCAGGTAGTCTTCATCTCTCAGCATGGCTCCGATCATTAGTTCGGGACTGGCTGCAGGTCTTGGTCTGGCCATCCTTAACTCTTCCAACCGAATCCAGCTTCCCCTGTCACGGCATGCTCAGTACATGTCCGAGCGATCTTAGTCGACTAAGGTTCACAACTTTGTCGATTGATTTGCCTTTATTGCCTAGTACCATTCGTTTGACCTCAACATCGCTCACACGGTGCTTTCATCAAACAGGAGCCATGCTACGAAGACATCTATTTTCAAAACCCTGTGACCCCTTCATGTTTTCTACTTTCAGTGACCATGTCTCAGCTGTATAACGTAAAAGAGCAGACTGAAGCGCAGTTTACTCGTCGTTTGATAGATAGTCGGAAATCTCGCCAGTCGGCTCGATGGATGATGAGAGTTGGCAAATAACAAATGGGCCTTCTGTACCCGAGCTGAGATTTCGCCGGCAACCAGCCCGTTCGGACTGACGCACCTCCCCAAGTAAAGTGGTCGACACATGCCACCGCTTCACTCCCTATCATTAAACTGGGTGTACTTGCAGCAGATCAGTCGTGGAGCATCTTGGATTTGCTTGTTTCGAAATGCATACCAAACATACTCAAATTTCTGCTTAACGCTTATAGAAGACTTTGCATTTTGTCAGCGTCTTCATCCAACAGGACCATATCGTCCGCATACTCCATGTCAACCAAATGACTTCCGGGGAGTAAGTCGATCCTTGTGAAGTCAAACGAATGAAGGCTAATTTCTATTAGTACATCCACAAAGAAGTTAAGTGGGAACCATGATAGTGGACATCCCTGCCGGACACTACTAGTTGTCGTCAGATCACTTGACAACTCCCTATAAGCTGTGGCTTGGGTGTGTGAGTTTGAGCAGCGAGTTTTGATTAACATGCACTTTTTCGTTAGTCTTCAAAGTTGAACACTGCAACAGGACCTCAGTTGACAGGGCCAGATGCCATCTTTAGGTCAGGAAATATTGCAAGAGTCGGCCTTCGGTATGTATGGGTGTGTTACAGAACCTGTCGGAGGGTGAGAATTCGATCACTGTCCCCCGTTTAGCTCTCCCTGAAACCCGCCTGCTTTTCTCGAGCTCCAGTTATGCGTCGCATAACTGTGGAGGATCTTGGACACAATATTAGTTAAGCTAATCCGCCTATGGTTGTCTCAAGATTTCTCCCCCTTCTAATAAACTAGTATGATCAACGAAGTAGACCAGTCTTACGGTACTACTTCTGATTCCTATACACTACCTAATATAATCTTCACTCTAATCAGTTATTCCCTACCTCCATCCTTGGAAGCCTGAGGTGGCAAATTGTCAAGTTCTGCTGCTTTCCATTGTTTCAGGTTCGATACAGCTTTATTAACTTCGATGAGATTTGGATGACCGACATCTACGTCCCATTCAGGTTCAGGCTGGACTTTGGGCAACTAAAGCGTTGCTGAGGGCCAGTTGAACTGTGCTTCAAAGTGTTCCGCTCAACGTTCTAGTTGCCTGTCCTGAGAGGTTATCAGCATCCCATCCTTTTCGGTGATGGTTTCACACACCGTCTAATTTTTTTCGCGGGTATCCCTAATTAACCTAAATCGGTGCTGAGTGTTACCCAACCCTGATGTCTTTTCCATCTCTCTCTTTCGCCACCCACCACTGCTAGCGATCGAAGCGAAGACTTGGTCAACTTACGTTTAAGTTGTTTTCACTCTTCATCGTGATCATTATTATTATTTATCCCTTGGGTTCCTAATGGAACATAGGGCTTCAGTAGCACGTCTTTAATGTGCTCTGTTCTCTGAAATCTTTTGAACCTCGCTCCACGACAGCCCACAAGCTCTCATTTCTTCCTCACACCATCTCCTCCATATCAGCCTCGGAAGCCCAACTCGTCGCTTCCCATCTGGGTTCCACTCGAGGGCCTGTCATGGCACGTGATGTCCCCAGTTGGCCTTCTCAGTGTATGCCCAATCCACCTCCACTTACTTCCACTGCATATTTGTTTAGCGATGGGTTCTTAGTTGGTTCGTTCCCAGATCTGCTTGTTGCTTATTCCTTCTGGCCATCTGATCTTCAGTAATGAGCCAGCGTAGGTGGCAGTTGTTGATGAATGTCTGTAGTTTATTGGAAATCCCTTTGGTAACGCGCCAAGTCTCTGAACCATACAGAAGCACTGACTTGACTGAAGTTGGTGTTGAAAATCCGCATCTTGTTCCACATGCTGATTGGAGGGCAGTGCAGTAGATCTCCACACTGGTTTCAGGCTAATGAACTCCTGTCTTGCTTTTCTGACCCTGGCTGGCCTGGCTTTGACGCCCTCATCTGTGCCTGTGCCGCCTGCAGTTGAAACGATGCTGCCTAGGAGGCAGGTGAAAGAGACTACTTCCTTTGAGTTTCTCCCGTTGATGGTGATTGCTGCTTGTTGTTGTTGTTGTTTGGGTGTCTTCATCACCTCTGCTTTCTCTACATTCACTTGAAGTCCCGTCTTCGCTGCTTCGCCTCTTCTGGCAACTTGTTAGTTTTTGCCTGTAGATCTTCAAGTTTGTGTGACATTAGACATAAGTCATCGGTGAAATCCAAGTCTTCTAGGTTCTTTTCCGCAGTCCAGCCAGCGTATCCCTCTCTTCTCTCTCTCCACTGTTTGTTGCGTGATCCAGTCGACTACAATCAGGAATATCATGGGTGATAGTAGGCAACCTTGTTTTACTCCTGTCTCCACTTCACTTCAAAAGCACCACTGAGCTTCCCTTTGTGAAATGCTTGGCATGTGGCGTCTTCATATAGTTGTTGAATGAGGCTGATAAAGGTTTGCGGTATTCGGTAGTGTTGAAGCAGTTTCCAAATTACTTCTCGGTGGACGCTGTCAAAGGCCTTCTCAAAGTCGATGAAGTTGAGGTAGAGATCCAGTTGACTGCCATTGTATGCTCTGTTGTATGATGATGCGACGCGTTGTAATTTGGTCTGCACATGATTTGTACTTCCTGAATCCAGCCTGCCTGTTCCTGTGGTAATTTTAAATCCAGCTTATCCTTTAGTCTCTCCAAGATGATGCGGCTTAATATTTTGTTTGCTTTGGGTGGACAAGTGTGGAGCATGATTCTGCGCTAGTTCTTGCAAAGACTTAGGTCTCCCTTCTTCGGGAGTTTGACAAGATA